GGGAGCTGCTCTGCAGGCTGCCTGGTGGCCATGTGCATGTGTATATGTGCAATTGCATAGGGCCCCTGCTTTACCAGCCTCCTCCTGCTCACCCCAGCTCCTTGCAAGCTGGAACTCTGCCAACCTGCAAGGGGAAACCTGCCTTTTCCTGCATTTTTCTCCTTTAAAGGAAAACGTTTGGGTTTTATTGTGTTTTTCTGTGGTGAACAGGAAACCCAGATCCCTGGTAATTATTCAAGCACAAGCATATGGCAGAGTTAATTAATTTACCGTGTCCTAATACTGGTGCATATGTAGATGGTGATGCTTTACTATACAGCTAATTAGTCGACTCCATGGTAAATGTGTAGATGCACCCACTGGGTTGTATCAACAGGAGCATCACTTGCAAATCAAGGAAAGTGATTCTTCCGATCATTTCAGTACCAGTGAAGCCTCGCCTGGAGTACTGTGTCCAGTTTTGGGCGCCACCTTTCAAGAAAGATATGGATGGTTTAGAAAGAGTCCAGTGGAGAGTGACACAAACAATTAGGGGCCTGGGAAGCAAGACTTGTGAAGCAATGCTAAAAGAACTAGGAGTATTTCATCTGGAGCAGAGAAGATTGAGGAGTAATTTATAACTACTTTCAAATACTTGAAGGGCAGTTACAGAGTAGAGGAGATAGGCTTTTCTCTGTGGTCACAGGTGACAGGACTAAAAGCAATGAACTCAAGCTACAGCAAAGGAAATTTAGGTTGGAGATTATGAGGAACTTTCTGACTATAAGGATGACCAAACATTTGAACAGACTACCTAGTAAAATGGTGAAATCTCCATTCCTGGCAATTTTCAAGAGCAGGCTGGACAGACACTTGGCTGGGATGGTTTAGTCAGGGATGATCTGCCTTGCACAGGGGACTGGAAAGATGATCTTGTGAGGTCCCTTCCAGCTCTATTTTCCTATAATTCTAAGCTTTCATAGGGGACAACCTACTTCATTAGATGCAGCTGTCTTAAAAGCTAGTAGGCACAGGCCTCTAGAAAGAGGTAAACTTAAAGAAAAACACTTCTGTTTTATTAAGCAACTCTAGAATACTTAGATTGCAGGAGAACAAAATGAGGATGTACAACATACTTACAATGCATAGCTATTCCTTCTGCTATATCTCCACTGAATATCTATATATTCAAGAAAACATCTCTGCAAAAATTCTATATATCGCATATTGACTGTAACATCATTTTTTCAAAGAGTAGTATATAAAATAAAACATTAACTTGTTTGCATTATTTTAAAATGGTTTGCTAACAAAGACAACAATTCTGTTTAAATCAGTCAGAATAGATTTTGCCTTCAGGCTCTAATTCCTTACTGTGTAGCTTTCTTTCTATACAGAAATTAAGAGCATATTATCTAACCACGTTGTGGAAGAAGAAGCACTAATTAGATTTGCACAACCTAATGTTCCTTGTGGAATAATGAAATGTTAACTGCTTCCTTTTCAAAATTAAATAATAGTGAACACACACCAAGGGATTTATCAACCAAATTAGCAATGTTTCAGCACTAGTTTGGTTAGTCAACACTCTGGATCTAAAATGATGAAAACTAAGTTAACCGGAGTAAAACAAATTTACAAAAACAGATATTCCTGTTGTCTCCAAGAACAAAGATGGTACATGAAAGTTCTTGTACATAATACATAAAAATGTTGAATTGGTTCTGATTTTATTCCAACATTTCAAGTAAGTTAGAAGAAATAAAAAGGAAAAGAGAAAAGAAAGAAAATGACAAATATTTTAGAAGATTCTATATATTCTGCATGTTCCAGTGAAAAAAGACGAAAGAGATGGTTTTCCTTAGGACAGATGAACAGTTATGTAATCTCAAAGGGATAAAAGAGTTTACCACTAATGAGCATATATCAGGCAATCTATATCCTCATTGCTTCTATCCCACAATAAGTAAATCTAAAATAAAGTAACTTAATCCTATTTTATTCAGAGGTAAGCTGCCATGGTTTAACATCATCTTACCTTGGGATAGAAGTGGACAGCTTAAAGTTAACACTGGGTTCAGGTGAATCGCAATGAATCACAACTTTAAAACAAGATAACTGTTCATTTGACAAACTTAGTGAAAACTTAAGCCCGGGTTTTTATAGGTAATTTGGCCTAGACACCAAATACCTCTAAAAATTGGACCCATACACACAAGTGCAGATCAAAAGTAATGTAAAATAGGTCAAAGTTATATTGCTGTAAACAAGCAAAGAATTTAGTTCTGGTGCCCAAAGGTCTGACAAGTTTCCAGTCTAAAAGATGTAATGTTAAATTGCCACATTGCTACAGTGCAATTGTGTCATATTTTAAAAGTAGTTTTTAACACAGTAGAGTAGTAATAGACCAACAGGTGTTTGGATTAAATCAGTGGTCAGTTGGCTTTCAGAGCCACAAGCAGGAACAAGTCAACCCAGCCACCACCTCTCTCCCAGCTTCCCACCTGCAGTATGGGCACAGATCCCAGCCAACCAGCCCAGACACAGCTCCCTGCTATTTGACCCCAGCCCAGGTGCAGCCAAAGCCATCCATTGCTGTAATGCCACCAAAGCCCCTACCACCAACACACTGCCAAAGCCACTGCAACCAATATGCTGCCAAATTTTCTGTCTCCATGGCCACATCCAGCCTATGGGCCTATGTTGCTGACCCCTAGATTTAGAACTTCTGATTTTAGGTTTTAATCAGTACACACCAACAAAACTTCCCATTCCAAACACACAAACACATGCTGGGGAGGGGGGGAAGGGATGGGAAGGAAAGAAATCCAGCAAACACTGGAAGAACAGGAAAAATAGCTACTCAAACCATATTGATGTCACCTCTTTACCAGTGTGGTTTGTTTGCTCCTTGCTTTGTATTTAACATGTTTTTTTCTAGGTATGTTAAAGCCACCCTTCTATGGAGTGGCAAAAAATGCCTACACTGCTATTGGACACACCACAGATAAGAAAAATTATATGCACGCACAGCAATTAAAACACTACTATATTACAAACATGTGCTACCTACAGCAGTAGATTCCATGAAGAGTTATTATTGGTAAAATATTTAGTATTTTTTCTTTAAATGGGATTTAGAAATATAATCAATTAAAATGAAACACGTATGGTCAGCTAGCTCCCCACAGGCCACCTCCAAGCATTTCTAAGAATATAAAATTGCTCACAGGTCATTATTTGGGAAAGATTAGGGTAAATAAGGGGTATTTTTATGTGGCCCCTATCAAGAAAAAATATCTACAGTTAAAGTAAGAACTAGGGCTCTCAAACAATTAAAAAAAATTGATTGTGATTAGTTGCACAATTAAAAAAATTAGTCCCAATTAATTGTGATTTTAATCGCAAAGCTAATAAGTCAAAATTATGCAAAATCGCACAAGCACTTTTATTGGTGGGTGTGGGGGGCTGTGGGGTTGTGTGTGGGGTTTGGAGTCCAGGGAGGTGAGGTCCCTGCAGGGGGTCTGGCACCAGGGAAGAATAGGTCCCCTCATGCCTGTGGGTCAGGAATGAGGGGCAGCAGCAGGGCATAGCTGTGGCTTAGAAGTGAGGGGCAGGGGCATAGATCAGGCATATCACTGCTCCCCCCCCCCCC